GCAATTACCAAGAAATGCAAATTCAGTCCAGCTCGGAATCGCTTCAGTAAACATGTCGGTTAAAACTGAATAACATGACTTAATTAGGATAACCGTGTGTCTTTGAAGCGAACTTTAAATTCCCAATTTACCAATTAAACAGAGCATTTGCTGACTTAGGTTTTCAAGAGACACTGAGAAAATATTGTTGGTAACTCTTTCTAAATTCTTCGGGTTTCGGTAACATTGCAAGCCTCTTATAAACTACGTAGAAGAATTTAAAAAATCAAAATAATCACAGCGCATAGCAACTTTATCATAAACCAAGAAAGGGATTAAAATTTCCTTGCCTATGCACAGTTCCTTCAATTTCAATATTTTTTTGTCATTGATAGCAATCGAATGAATAAGAGTTAACAGGGAAACTTCTACAGGGAAACGATAATGTTTTCTATCTAGCTACGCCATTATGCAATCGTAGCATTTTCAGGATAACCAATCAACTGTTTCAATCGCTGTTTTGACAGGTATTAATTGACGGCAATCTATTCTTTAGGTAATTTGGTTATATCAACTAAGTTGAAATTGTAAATTGGCCACCGTAACGAGTAAAAAGGCTTTTTTACGCGTTGCGGTGGCCAATTTACAATTTCAACTTACTCAGTGATACTACCAAAGTACCTTGTTACCCCCACCGACGCAGCACCGCAGTTTCTTTAGAAACTTTCAGCCTTTAATCTATACTTTAGCCTATTTACCCTTTAGACCCCAAGAGTGGCCAGCATCTAATTTCTCCTTACAGTAACACTGATGAATCATTCATTGACGCCATGAGAATAAAAGGAAATGATCATCAACCCGAGAAGCTGCTGATTGTCAAACAAATTCTCATTGTCAGCAGTGAAGGAAACTTATATGAGGGTATGAAGAATATGGATATTGATGTAAGCGTGTAAAGGGTGGGCAAGCCTGGGCACATTCTGGCCCCATGACGCGTTTAAAATTCCAGACTTGGCTGAACAATATTTTATCTTTAAAAAACATTTTCGCTTGAGCGAAAGACTTGTGCTGCGTTTAAAACCCTCTTGTAAGTAAACAAAGCTTCACAACAGTGGCTCAAGAACGTCTCGAAAAGCGCAAATTTCGCGGATGACGTCATCATGGTTGAAAAATCAAGTGATCAGGAGGGAATTTCCCAAATGCGCAGCAGAATTATCAAGGTTAAGTCCGTGAAATTTTCTCATATTAAAGCGTACAGATATTGAGATCGCCAAGGACAACGACGTAATTTCACCACCATCTATAAGCTGTAACAGTCACTTTAACTTTTTCAAGACTGCAAAAGAGTTCATTGACTGTAAGTACAGGAGAAGTAACATTTGTGGCCCCTTAGCTGAAATGGTTCACAAAGAAAGGAATCGAAAGATTTTGAAGCATAGTAAAGTAAACAAAACTCTACCAGGGGTCATGAACACATCGAAGATTGGAAAGACGGAAACTTTTTCTTGGTGACGGTCAGCGAATCATTCTTTGAAACACCGCTTGAAAAGGACATTATTTTCGGTTCCAGTTAAAAGATGTATGTCGTGAGCAACTCTATTAGAGCCAGGAAGGGTATTCCGTGCAAAGACTTCAAGATACTAGTAACAAACAAAAATGATGGAACCCATGATTAAAAGCCAGTCGCCGGCGCCATTATGGAAAAACGCTTGAAACTGGAAAACAGTTGTTTTGAACCCTACTACTTTGGCGCCATAATTTTGCTCAGAGACATTACCCGCGTATGCACCAGGTGGACGTCGCCAATTAGATTACAAATGAGGAGCTGGTGAACAGAAGCCAAACTGGAAATCGAAACAAGCCCCTTCGACACTGCCGATTGCAATACGCCATGTTTAGTTTTTGCCCAACCCGCGCGGTACTGGGCCTTTTTGTATATTATGGTATATACCATGTGCTGTAGTTTGTTGTTGGCGTTTGGTTTTTCTCACCTGTCCATCTAGTCTACAAACCTTTCAAACCTGATCACACCAGTCGGATTATACAGATTGAAACACATTAAACAGATTCAACAAATCAAGTTGAACATTTCTTCTCCAAACAGTGTTTGTTGCACATCTCCCAAGCGTGCGGTAAGTTGGGATTTTACCACCTTTCTGACACTATCTTCATAATCATAGGATCTTCTTTCAATTTCACGTAGAGCAGAAAAAGAAAGCGTACACATGNNGGTCTTAAAATAATTGAGAAGAATTTGCTACCTTTCTATAACATCAAGAAATGGTTAGATATTCTAGTCTTCTCGGATAGGGACGAATAAATGGAGGTCCCGTCTCCTGCAGGGTTGGGGTAGGAGACGTTAATTTCCCACACACGAGATTACTGTGTGATGGATGTCCTCCCCTGGGGTGGGATGGGTGGGAGGGTGGACTAGCACGAATGGTTCCTATGTTCCTTTCTAGTCCTTCCCCACTGCAAAACTTAATGCAGTGAAAATGGACTGAATTAAACTAAACTTAAGAAAAACCGCGTGGCGCCCAAGAAAGGACCGATATTAGTAATTGTAATTTTTGCGCTCTCGATGAATTATGTTTTATTTCATATTTTTTCCCTTTTATTTCGAATTCTATTTTGTAAGCTGCATCCTCAAAAATGTATTCCCTATTGCCTTTGATAAAACATTGAGATCACACTTTCTGGGGAAGAGGGAGTCTGGGGTTTCGATTCCAGCTAAATCTTTACCCTCTGACTCCTTAGAGTGACTAGCATCTAATTTCTCCTTACCATATCACCCCTGAATCACACATTAAGGTCAGGAGAATAAAGGAAATGATCACCCAAAAAAACTCTTGATTGGTAAACAAATTCTCCTTTTCAGCAGCTTAGGAAATGTTTTGAGGACAGTGGGGAGAATGTGCATATACTGATGTTAAGAATTCAAGGGTTAAAGGGAACTAGTTTAATGTAACCATATATAAAAGAATGTCTTATAAACAAGCTGTAGAATAAATCACGCACACTTAATGCCTGAAGAAATGTTCGCTTCACAGCGCAATGTTGCTTTATATGGTGTGTATAGCTACGTAACAGCAATATCATGTTGAGTTTCAAACGATGAAATTAACTCATATCTTATTTAGAAGCATTCTAAGAACTTCCTTATCTTGGTGTTGGGAAAATGAATGCAAATAACATATTATCATAAGCCGTTCAATAACAAAAAAGTAATAAGATAGTTGATCATTTCCTATTTCTTTGGCGGTCTTACCTTACTATTGGGTAATTTTTGTCTTATCTTACTGTGAGAAAATACTCCATTTAACACTGCAAAATATTTATAATTGGCTGCTATTTATTTTAATTAAGTTCCATACTCTCCCAGTTTCTAAGTTTCTAAGGCTGTAATTGGAACGTGACTGCAGTAGAATATTTCAATTATTTTGCGATAAGCTATTTTAATATGTTAATCCGCTTGATAAAGGAGAATGTAAATCACTCTGGTAAAAGTTAATCTCGCACAGGAATTTCCTAGAAATTCCTCTTCTCATATTTTCTATTTCCTTTACGCTCGTCTTTTAGGCTAATTCCAGTCGAATTCCCGATCACGAAAACTATTCTTAATTTTTACCATTAATTTAGTACGTTCAACACTTCTTTCTTTTAAGATGACTAAAGGTGTAAAAAACTAATACTTATTATCCTCCGCACTGAATTTCTAATCAGGTAAATTATACGAACAGCACTTAGCTACTTTAGGGGCGGTACCTTGAGTACGCCCTTTCTTTTTCAATTTTTCTGTTTATTCTGTTGTTATGTAACAGTCTTCAAAGGCTATTTTCTCTTAAGATAACCCTTTAAGTATGATTCTAATTCCGTCAATAATTTCAGTATAACTTATATACTGCCAATCTTCTTTTTGTTTTACCAGTATTAAATTGGAAATGTATGAGATATGAGGTAGAACGTCACTTTGTAATGAATCAACATCACGGAGGAAAGCACCAAGTATTCAGAATCCGTTTCATGCGATTCGCGAGTTAAAGGTGAAATAATGACAATGGTTAAAGATTGATAGTTCAGTAAGTGTCACCTTTATGAGCTGGTGACCAACATTTTCCTCCAGAGCTGAGCTAAATCCCTAAGTTGTAAGTTAAGCAAGGTTGTAAGAAATAAAGGAATTTTTTTCGACGACAAAATGATTCATATGAGAACGATCTTCGCAGTGGGCAGCACTATTTAAGCAATAGTGACTTTAAGACCTGAAAAAAATTCAGGCCTGTACGGGATTCGAACCCATGACCTCTGCAATTCCAATGCAGTGCCCTACCAACTGAGCCAACAAGCCAACTGGGAGCTGGTTATGATGGTGATTCGTAATAAACTCGTAAGATGATGAGTCAAATGCTAAGAATATATGAGAAATCATATATTTGAACTTCAAATATATGATTTCTCATATATTCTTAGCATTTGACACAATGAGTGATAAATAGTAGTCTAACATAAGTATAAACGAGGTATTGCCGAGCGACAGCGATATCTCGGTGGGATAAAACTATTTAGAGGTCGAAACACCCCATGATGTTGTTCGTCGCAACCGTGTTCACTAACGAGAGACAAATGAGCCATCACCACCATCATCAGACGAGGGTCCTACTCTTCCCTACAATCCAGTGAATTGCCGAGCAGTGTTCCCGTAGAAGTAAATCCATCTTCATGAAATCAAAGAAATGCGTCTCTGAGTGTGCCTGAAGTTCCCTCAACTACATGCAAGTCTCCACCAAAGCGTGGGCCAACCAAAGGTTTGCGTCTAACGTATCTGGCCGAAAACAACGCGTTCTCATCAACGATCGCACATCTGCTGACTTCCACTTAAGCTGCGGTGTCCCACAAGGCAGCAGTGTGTGACCTATTTTATTTATATTATACATATCTCGACTATATCATATGATAGCTAACCATCTTCCCTCTGCTCATAGAGATACCGATGATACACAACTTTATCTGTCGTTTAGACCTAAAGGCAGATCTTCGCAAGACCGTGCCATAGCTTCTCTGGAGGCCTGCATCTCAGATGTCCGCGCATGGTTGACTTGTAACCGCCTGTTAATCAACGATTCGAAAACTGAGTTCTTAGTTAATGGTTCCTGCCATCGATTAACAAAAATCGTAATTGATTCCATCACTGTCGGTGATTCTACCATCCAGCCTCTCGACAGTGTTCGAAACTTGGGTTCCTCGTTTGACTCCAATATGTCTATGTCCATTCACATTGGTAAGATCTGCAGCAAGGCTTTTCATGGCTTTTATAAAATTCGCCAAATTAGGAGATTCCTTAGTCCTGAGTCCACGAAGACTCTTGTTCACATTTGGACTACTGTAACTCTCTTTTCCTTGGTGTCTCCTAGTACCAGACAGATCGCCTTCAGAAGGTGCTCAACACCGCTGCTCGATTGATCTTTAGGATTCAAAGTTTGATCATATTTCGTCCGCCTTATCTCATCTTCACTAGCTTCCTGTGACTTATCGTCGCGTTCATTTTAAGGTGGCTGAACACAGTTTTTGATACCTGTGTTCCTTTCGCCGTTTTCTCTAACACGGCCTTGCTCTCTCGGTCGCCAAAACTGGCAGCAAGTTAACAACGCAAACTTTGTTCTTTTGATAGTTAAGCTGACGTATGTGCCGTTGTCATGGTGACATGAATAAATATAAACAGGCTTTAAAATCGGTTTTGTTCATTTGTTCAAAATCTAGTCATTAGTTTTTCTTTATAATTTGCATGCAACGAGCTTGTAACGATACTCACAAGTTATCACCATTTTGCTGACAATTTAAGAGAGATCTTTAATTATCCCTTGTTGAAGGTTCACTCGATTATCTAGAATTTCCTTTCATAAAAATCAATTTTTCGATACTCCAGTTACTTATTTCCTAAAGTATTCGTGCCAAATTTCGTGAAATTCTTATGAGCTGAGAATTGCTAGGTTCTTTGCACCGTTAACTTTTCTAACATGTCTTTCTAATAAAAGATTAAAACCCTCAGTACACTGCGCCAACTATAGAGAAAAATAGCACAGATAGTGCGGATACGTGTTGAGTAAATAAAACGACCGCTCTATTGACGGCATATTTGTTTTTTGCAATCCTTGCGCGTGCACTGAATTGCATCAGCAAAAGGGCGCGCGAAAACTGTGTTCAGCCACTTTAAGGTGGCTCAATAGGGTTTTTGGCCGGGCGAAGAATGGGTACGAAAATGGCGCGAGCTTTTAAATGGCATCAAATATGTAAACAAACATGGCGGCTTCACGCGAGTGCACAATTTTTGTCACATAATCGCGAAGTTTACATGACGACAGTGAAACGGCATCGATACTTTCCAGTAATGAGCACAATATTGACAGTGAAAGACCAGAAGTTTACACAACGCCTACACAACATCCGTAATGCGTCAGGTCGCTTTCGGAAAGTGGAAGCGATCGAAACCAGAAAAGAAACAAAAATAAAAAGGTTACACGAAGGGTTCAAAACGTGGAATGCCAAAAGGAAGCTCCAGTATGATAACATATCCAAGGAAAACGAACCCCCAGCAAAACGAATGACACGA